ATTTTGTCCATATCAAGAGCAATTCTGTCAAGTCCATTCACATTTCCCTCATCTCCAGTTATTTTCTGTTCTAGCACTCTAGTAAATAACACTGATCCATTATCTAGTCTGGTGAAGTTCAAGTATTCAAGTGAACAAAAGTGGAATCCAGTCCAAGTTCACGTCAGGTACATCATTATATGTCTTTGGGGTTACGACTTTCCATGTCCTGTATAGTAGTAGTAGTAGTCCATTAATACTATGTAGGTACAGACGTGCTCTTGGTCATTCATGGAAGTCAAGGTTACCAGTGGCCCAACCTACGGATGGCAGATACTGCTTGGGTGTAAACACATAGGTGTGCATGGCAAATTACAAAGGTGTTTGCAGGAAGAGAAAATTGTCACCCAAGCTTTGCTTAAAATGTGCTAATTATACAAAAAATCCACTTTTGTTAGTGTTGACAACAAGATGAATACAGTGATAGTCATAATGTTTTCTTCAAATATAAATAAAAAGAACAAGCCTAAACACAAGAAAATGCCTATAGAGAACTAATAAGTGAGGACAGATTGGTCCTTATTTAATCATTATGATGTGCCTGGATAAACCCTTGTACACACCTATGAACCATTTACCAGAGTGCCTACCCCAACCAGAATTAACAACCTCTGCGTCAGTGGCGGAATGAGTGTAGAGTGGGTCCTAGTAAAATAATTTGTTTTTGGGACCCTCCAATACAATGGTGGCCAAAAGGTAGATCACCATCTGTCGTACAACTCCCACAATGCTTTGCCAGCTGGGGATCTACTATGTACCCATCTTCGCAGGGTTTTATTTGTGAGCAGCATTTGTATTTGGATGTAAGCATGTTTTTCTATAGTAAATAGCGAGAGTATGTGGGTGAAACTCACTCACCTACAAAATACATCCTAAAGTAAAATTACATGTACATGGTATAAACCTTTATTAAGTCAAAGAAGAAACAAAATAAAAAAAATAAAATAAAATACAATCACCCAGTTACTACACACCCTAAAACGTGTATAGACAGTGATAAACTGAGGTATGTAGTGATACAACTTAAAAGCCTGGGTAGATCCATCCTAAATACCACAAATTGGTAAACAGGGTCTAATGTAATGAATAGTAATGATCCTTATATGGAACAAATTAAGATATGAGGACCACTGTATAAGTGGTATGTTACTGTTTACGTCTGGGGACTACAGGATATGCAGACACTGCAATTACATACTCTGAATGCATCATAGATACCCTAAGTGCATTAGTGAGATAACAGACATCTCATGAGCAGTATAGGGGGGTAGATGTAATGGTGTCAACAGAGCGAGCTAGGGCTATGTTGTAATGAATTGGGAAACTACAGAGACAAACATAGCATGGCAGACATGCCAACAAAATAAAGACTGCTCACAAAAATATATGTCTTACCCTCCCAATTACGAATATAGGAAAGCTATAGTAGTCAAAAGGTAGAAGGAACACTAAAGTCTAAGTCTGCTCCAAACTAATAGCATCCCAGTAGTTAACAAAGGAGGGCTTGTGAGGCAGGCATGGGAATGTCTGCTCTCCCTGAGATGTCTTGGTTACACAATTAGCATAGGTCCCTGGATAGGCTGTCTAACTCAAAGGAGATAGTATGTGGAGTCCTAGTCTACCTATTTAGCCAGAAGGCACTGCAGGAGTCCCTCACTGCTGCTTCGAGGCAGCCTAGCCCCCTAAAGCCCAAGGTAAATCAAGAGCGCATTTTAAACTAAAGTCCCAGACATAGCTAGTACCCAGGTGGAAAAATAGAAAACCTCAATCAACAAAATTGCATCGGCATAATCTGAGCCCGACACGCGTTTCGGCATTTCCATACAGAAGGGACAGAAGGACACTCCCCCCAACTCCTTTCCTCCAATGCATATGCACGGACCGCTGGAGGGCTGACCAGAGTGAGTGTCAGACCTTCCCCATTTCACAATAACCAATCCGATGATAGTAGGCGTGGTTAGGGATTGAAGTCATTGAAACCCATTTGCAGGTAATAGATACAATCAGACTAGAAAGTACTTCTCAGGGTACATTGTTAAACCCAAAATTTACAGAGGTTTTGTATATGACAACATAGTAACCCTTGAATAAGTATTGAAAAGTAAAAAAGTGAAAAGTACTTGTATCAACAGGAGACTGGGATCGGAGGATCGGAGAGTTATATAAATAAGTAGAGATGCTCTCTTACACTAAGCTCGAGGGGCCAAATGATTAAAATAGAATAAAAATGACAGGTACTCAAAAGTAGACAATGGATTGATCGCCTTAATATCGAGAGTGACATTGATGAAAGGTATATAATGTTTGGCCCAGTGTGTGCGGAGGGCAGTCACTCACCCTCTAGAAACAAGGGGGAGGGACTTGTGGATAGAGTGGCGAAAGGTCTATGTCATACATTATCGAAAGCACACATGAATAACAATACCCTTCTTGTTCCAATATTCATATGGGGTTACAGTGGAAATAGCCTAAATTGAAGTGAAAACTTCACCCCTAAGGGAGGCTCCTGAAAAATAGACAGGGGTCATGTTCAAGTCATAGTATAGGGGTAAGCCCATGGACCATTTGTGTTTCTTAGGGAGTAAAGTGTGCTTGGATACGGTAACCCAAGGTTCAGCTTAAGTGTGGATAATGACAGTTTTAAAGAAATAAAAAGAAAAGTTATTAAGCTTAGCAATTGCTAGCCCCTTGGTTATAGGCAGGCTAAAAGTTAAGAGGTCCCTTATACAGAAAAATGGATCCAACATCAGTGCCTGGCTAAGGTTAATAGTTACCATAAATTGAGTAGAAGAAATTGATCAAACATAAAAATAACTGTAACTACTATGGCCGAACAACAGTTGTTCGGCCATAGTAGTTACAGTTACTTTTATGTTGGACACACTGGGCCAATCATTATATACCTTTCATCAATGTCACGCTCGACATTAAGGCAATCAATCCATTGTCTACTTTTGAGTACCTGTCATTTTTATTCTATTTTAATCATTTGGCCCCTCGAGCTTAGTGTAAGAGAGCATCTCTCCTTTTTTATATAACTCTCCGATCCTCCGATCCCAGTCTCCTGTTGATAAAAGTACTTTTCATTTTTTTACTTTTCAATACTTATTCAAGGGTTACAATGTTGTCATATACAAAACCTCTGTAAATATTGAGTTTAACAATGTACCTTGAGAAGTACTTTCTAGTCCGATTGTATCTATTACCTGCAAATGGGTTTCAATGACTTCGATCCCTAACCACACCTACTATCATCGGATTGGTTATTGGGAAATGGGGAAGGTCTGACACTCACTCTGGTCAGCCCTCCAGCGGTCTGTGCATATGCATTGGAGGAAAGGAGCTGGGGGAGTGTCCTTCGGTCCCTTTATAAACAGTTCCTACTCAGTTGCCGGTTAGCTCTTGACAAAGGCGTATGGAAACACTGAAACGCGCGTCAGGCTCAGATTATGCCGATGCAATTTTGTTGATTGAGGTTTTCTCTTTTTAATTCCACCTGGGTACTAGCTACGTCTGGGACTTTAGTTTAAAATGCGCTCTTGATTTACCTTGGGCTTTCGGGGGCTAGCCTGCCTCGAAGCAGCAGTGAGGGACTCCTGCAGTGCCTTCTGGCTAAATAGGTAGACTAGGACTCCACATACTATCACCTTTGAGGTAGACAGCCTATCCAGGGACCTATGCTAATTGTGTAACCAAGACATCTCAGGGGGAGCAGACATTCCCACGCCTGCCTCACGAGCCCTCCTTTGTTAACTACTGGGATGCTATTAGTTTGGAGCAGACTTAGACTTTAGTGTACCTTCTACCTTTTGACTACTGTAGCTTTCCTATATTCGTACTTGGGAGGGTAAGACATATATTTTTGTGAGCAGTCTTTATTTTGTTGGCATGTCTGCCATGTTATGTTTGTTTCTGTAGTCTCCCAATTCATTACAACATAGCCCTAGCTCGCTCTGTTGACACCATTACATCTACCCTCCTATACTGCTCATGAGATGTCTGTTATCTAACTAATGCACTTAGGGTACCTATGATGCATTCAGAGTACGTAATTGCAGTCTCTGCATATCCTGTCCCCAGACGTAAACAGTAACATACCACTTATACAGTGGTCCTCATATCTTCATTTGTTCCATATAAGGATCATTACTATTCGTTACATTAGACCCTGTATACCAATTTGTGGTATCTAGGACGGATCTACCCAGGCTTTTAAGTTGTATCACCCCATTCCTCACTTTATCATTATCTATACATGTTTTGGGGTGTGTAGTAACTGAGTGGTTGTATTTTATTTTATTTATTTATTTTGTTTCTTCTTCGGCTTAATAAAGGTTTATACCATGTACATGTAATTTTACTTTAGGAGGTATTTTGTAGGTGAGTGAGTTTCACCCACATACTCTCGCTATTTTCATATTTATGTTTTGGGGTTATGCCCCTCAATACCTCCTGTAACCTTCTTTGAGGCATTGGTGCTGGCTAGCCCATGACCATAACATCCTCATTCTCTTTGCTCTATAATGTTTTTCTATAGAGTATGTGTGTCCATGTAGATATGTATTCGTGTGTAGTGTTGATATTTGAATGCAGTTGTGTTGGTAAGGAGAGTTGCAATTTGTAAGCAGTGGTGTGCTTGTGTGTAGTGTTTGTGTTTGGTTTGTTTGTATGTAGCGTTGGCGATTGAATGATGGGATGTATGCACATATGCACATACAGTGGCACACACATACTTCCAAAGCCTGACTTGGTCCCTGATCAAAGATGGCCAATTTTGATCCATCAATTTATGTGCTTCGGTGCAGCCACACCAGTACTAATTCCATCGCTGCCCTGTGTTAAATCATCAGGTCCGTTCTTACTCACCTTTACAAAGTACATTGTCCACTGATATATCAAACTATAATGCTCTTAAATATTTTTTAAATTGTGTGACAACTTACAGAGTGCCTCCTCTTTACGTGGGAGCTACTGCACTCAGCCAAGCTGAGTGGTGCACTCAACTGACACTCTCAGCCAATAAAACAGCCTTGCATGGCAAGGCTTAGCTTTGCGCAGCAAACAAACGTTCCTTGGAAGCGGAAGTGAAAGTTCCTTAGAAGCGGAAGTGGTAGGGGAAGCAGAAATGGTAGGGAAAGCAGAAGTGGATGCACAGAAGGTAAGTTGTCAAAGCATTTTCAAAGGGTGAATGTCACCTCAGAACTTATTTTTAATATAATAATTATTTCATCAAGTTTTTAAAGGAAATTGATTTTTTGAAATATAAATATTATATATATAATTAAGAAAATAAGAAAAACTCTTCACTACCTTAGTATATGACAGGATCATTCAGCCATATACATACACATTGGGTCAGACAGTGTTTGAAAACCAACATTTAGTCTCTATTGCAGGCTTCCCCAAACTCTGGCCCTCCAGATGTTGCTGAACTACAACTCCCATGATTCTATGAATGAAATAGATAGGCTGATAATCATGGGAGTTGTAGTTCAGCAACATCTGGAGGGCTGGAGTTTGGGGAAGCCTGCTCTATGATCTTCCCTAAATTCACTAACTGCACAGAACAGGGAAGACCTGTTCACTGTTTTACCTCGAAGGGTTAAACATACAGGACCATTGCACCCAGACCACTTTATTGAGATTAAGTTTTCTAGTTGACGTTCGTAGTCTTTGAACTATTTGAGGCCTTTGTTGATTAAGGGGTTAAATAGTTCAGGCTATGCTGTGTTGGTTTCTTCGGTAACTGAGGAATATGTATAAATGTTTTGAATTTACTTAATCCGTTGTATTATTTCCCACTCAGAATAGACTTAAAACTAAATATCCAGTCTATACAGTGCATTATGTTTCCAATTTAACTTGGATGTGTGACTTAAACAAATCCAGCCATTCATTCCTTATGTTACCACATCTATCATGATGAAAGATGTGCAAAGGGGCTCATTGACTAAATAGTAAAATGTTTTATATTGAAAACGGAATTGCAAAACAGACCAAAGTAGCTGCTTGAAGAATTTCTTCTATTCATCTACACTTCCAGCTAAGCTAGTTTGGACTACACTTTCCAGTTTCTTAAAACAGTTCAATATTTGGAGGTTGCGCCAGCCTACTCTTTTTCAAAAGTTTAGAATAAATTAATTGTTGATGATTTTCTATATACAAAATATAGACTGTACGTGCGTCGGCCCAGCAGGATTTTATCCCGGTTATTACACAAAGTCTGAGTAATGTGTAATCACTGTTTGTCTGGTAACAAGGAGAAAACTCTGGTTCTCGAAACTGTGCGGTGAAAATACTCAGAAACAGATGACGTTCTGCAAACTCCTTTTGCTGCTGAGTAGCTCGTGTCTAATTGCTTTTTTAGGCCAGCTGTTTTTCTTTTTTACTTTTTTTTTCTTTTTCTGTTTTTTTTTTTACCTTGAAACAGTCTCAGTTGGATCTAAACTCATGTCTTGACAGGCTAGATTGCTGACGCATTAACTCACTGCAACACCTCATTTAAAGAGACCACTCTCCCTTCTAATCATCGCTATTTGCACATTACACAATGTTTTAAACGTGTCGTTCGGTTTCAGAAAATATCCACCAGAGAGTAGGTGGGAACTGCTAACTTAATTCCATGCAGAACTTCATTCCAGACTGTGGTTAGAAATCGCAAAGCATGACATGGGACATTGATACAAACAGGGCAGTAACATGATTCTATACCATAGGGAATACATTGATCTGTTCATACCCTTTTTACCCCTTTATGACTTAAGATCGGAGACAGATATACTGACATTATTGGCGATGCTGGAGAGTGAAGTCATTTAAATGGTAAATGCAGTAACTACATTGAAAGCTGCACATGGCTGTTAGTTTTTTTTGGACCACAACTCAATAACTCTCAGCCAGCCAATACTTGGGGTTGGCTGATAGTGACTGGAGTTTAATCTTTGCACCATTCCTCTGTTATGGTATCTGGAGGATAGAAATAGCATTCTTGTAATGGGGTATGTTTAAATAATGCATGGCTGGGGTAAAATAAAAAACTGCAAATATATAAAAGCACACAGAAGCTGCAAACATTATATTACAGAACTGCAGTGGATAGTTTTATGAACATTCCTAAGTAATTCAGTAATATGTAACTCAAAGCTGGCTGAGTGTGGGTAGATCCTAGAGTTGCGGGGTTTATTTACTAAATTCCAAAATGTAGCAAAGATAAATAAAAATTGGAAAACAAATTAAAGTAGCCAAGCTGTGACTATAGTTTTGCTGGATTCCCCCACTCTCCCTCTCCCCCCAACCAAACCAGCTGTTTGCCTTAGCATTTGAATTAGAATCCTTAATCACTACAATTCAGAGTTTAGTTTAGTTGAATACGATCTGACACTTCCTCAATATGAATATTCTTCAATATTAAAGGAACACAAACATGTATTCCTAACGTTAGAGTGTTTCCTCCACTATTTAGATTACCCTACCCCATTAATTAAATAAGTTCAACCTATCTTATATTAACTGGCATGTCAGTCTTGCCACAGCCGCCACTACTCCACTGGTTGAGGTCATCATTACTGATTATCTCAGCCAATCCAATGCCTTTCTGTAGAGAAGCATTAGAAGGCTAGCGGGCATGCTCGACAATTGCTCTTCGGTGTTGAACGCCATGCTGCACCAATCAGCATTTCCTCATAGAGATGCATTAACTCAATGTATCTGCTTGGGGAGCATTCGGCATTAAGGAGTCACTGAATGACAGACTGCGAATATTGCAAGACCGCAACCAATTTGCCCATCTAGTGGTTGTCCACTAGAGGTGATGTTATGCAGAAATGTAACACAGCTAAGCCTGCAAGAACTGGCTCTTTAACCAAGAAGCACTACATTAAATTGCAATAACTCTGGTGCCCCGTGTCCATTTAACACAACCTAAAAGCTAAAATTTGCTATAGGTTGTACTAAAATTATTATAGCATTCTTTATGGTTTATTTTATCATCATTATCATACGCATACACCATAAACCTTTCAATAACGCTAATTTATTATGGTTTTTAGACTGACTCTTTAAGCTACAACACCCATGATATTCCATCAGCTATCCATGGATGTTGAGAGTTGCAGACAAGCCCCGAGATTAACCACTCCAACTAAATACAGCAACACATTCATCTTATGAGGCTGGATACATAGATCCTCCTTAAGATCTTTAAAATCCGCTTATCCCCGTTCCCAGGATTTTTTGGAATGCGAGGAGAGGAAAGGAAATCTGCATTGCAGCGAGGAAGACTTCTATTTCCAAATTTTTAAACTGTTAATCTTTTATTATGACATGTTTTGGAATGCAAATGTATCCAGGGTTTTTAGGGTGTTTTTTTTTTTCCAACAATTTGCTGAAGTCATGGTCATGGTCAGATGGGCGATTTTATTATATAGATCCATATGTTAACGATAACTCCAGTTTTATGTGTTTAGTTCTTGCCGCAGCTGGTCTGCGTTTTATTACAGCCCCTACTCTGTGAAATTAAGAACATGCAAAGCACATATTGCCTTGCAAATATATATCAGATTCTCACACAGATACTCTGAATTATTTACAGCAGTCACACAAAAACACACAGGATGATGTATAAACAGAATAGAACACAGTGCAGGGTTACACTTCCATACAACAGCTAAGAAGCAGTAAATTGCAATCCCTTGTATCTACATGGGGATTTCTCAGTAAATGCCACTGAGATGATATATGGAATCGTATCTTAATGAATACCATGAGAAGAGTTATGTACATTAACATGATACAAACATAGTGACATACATAAACATAACGAAACGGGCTCACAATACATATTTAGAATCACACAGACATACCGGCTTATATAGACATTACAGTCTCATAACTCCTAACTAATGCATAACAGACACACGCAGGAATCTGGGCTGTATATAAACAACTGTCTTTCTAAGCTATTTAGGAATATTAAAATCTTAAATAAAAATATATATATAAAAAAAAACTTGGGGCAGAACGCTGAGAGGTCTGCACAGTCGTAAAATTGGAATGCCTGTAAAACAGTACGTAAATCATTCTGAGCAAAGGTATTCCCAACATTTACAACCATATGAATATTACCTAACCATAATCTAATATCTACCACCACCCTGTTAATCCCATAGGTTTTGCCATGAAAACAAGGTTGGGGAATTGAACAAGTACCCTCTGGTTCATATATGGATTTGGGGACATCAGCACTGCAGAAGTGTCCCAACTCAAGATTCTTGAAGTGGGGTAACGTGCACAGGAAGCCACATTACATCCGACACAATATTTCATCCTCTACCCATTACCCATCAGGTGAGGAAGTGGTGGATATTTCTGCAACCTCTGCAGTTTGGACACTATTTGTTCCCCCTAAATATATATAGATCTATTTATTTTATAAATCTCAAAGATTTACATGTATTTTTTTTTTTATTATTCTGAATTTCTGAATTTTGATCTTTCTAAGGTAATCTACAACTGTACATTTGAATTGCCTTTGGGACATATCCAAACCGTAACTATGGGTTCAGGCAGAGATGACTAAATAACCCTCTTATAATAACCCCACCTCTGTGATACAGAAACTACTTGTTTATTGTTCTAAAATAGTGAACATCTTCAGCACCATTGCTAAGCACCATATTTTAGTTATGTTAGTTTTTCACAGAAAAAAATGGCATTCTTAGAGAAGTCGAAACACGCCGTAATTTGCCAATACAAAGGAATAGTGTAAATGTGCTTAGCTACAGCCATGCATTCTTATTCATAAAGAGTCTGTCTTAAAATGGCAAGAACCCCATCTATCTATCCATTCTTCTGGATTCATGTGAGGTCTTACCAGATGTAAGTGGAATAATAGTATTTGCAGTTTGTCTATATACAGTGATGAGATTTTTGACAGTTAGTTAACAATCTGTCAAATAAAACACTAAACACTAGGAGAGATAAATAGCAGCTAATATAAGCCTAGATTTTATATTTTTGGATACTTTTTTCATGACATAATAATTTTGGATATAGTTTTCAAATGTTTTAATATTTAGAAAAATTGACAATATTTTTTTGACATAGTGTTTTATGGTTACATATGATTCTAAAGTCCCGTAGGTAATCAGAGAAGGCCAAGCAAAGCACTCATTCATATTTTCTTATCTTTCGTAGAGTGGGGGTTCAATAACAAGTTATGCAGTGCTCCTCTCCCTTCCATGCATCTCCTTGTGGTTTAAAATTGTAGACAAAGTTGTATACAATACATGTTGAATGTCCTTCGCTATTCCGATCCTCTTGCCCTCTATGCATATGTACACCTGGAATTGTCTTTATGAGAAAAGTGTAAGACACTGATTCCTGTTAATCTGCCTTGATAAAGTGTATACCAGACTTGTAATGGACCGTTTTGCACACAAGGGGTAAAAACCGTTTAGGCGATCGGCCCCCTTTCCAGAGATGCAGGCACAGCTACTGCAGAACACCAAACTCCCGAACTGGATACAAAATAGCACTCCAACTCCCGAACTGGAACCTCCCAAATAGCTGCTAGCAGGCGAACAGGAAAAGCAGACAATCAGCTTACACTCCTGGCAATCAGTCTCTAACAGCATACAGTGAATCCCCCCAAGAACGAGACAAGGCTCTGTGTTGAGGGTCAAGCAGTGGTCTGAGGTGCTGGCACACCCAGCCTGGTTTTTATTACAGTCTTGCAAATACAGGACCGCCCACAAGGAGGTATAAAACAACCAATCACATCACAGTTACATCCCACATATTCCCTCCCCTTATCCTGAGAGGAAACTCAATTACACATACAGTTAAAACATACTTTCTACCCAACTTTCATAACTCTAAAACCATACATCACATTCACATAAAATTACATATTCACAATCAATCCATTCAGGGGAACAACATATTAAAAATGGCATGAATCAGACCAGGGGTTCAAAAGTTAGTAAAAAGTCCTTTGTGACTAAATGAAGCATGGCTTTCTGGCCCAAACCAGTTTCAGAGTCTTCTATCCTGGAGAGTAATTCAATTATCTCCCAGGACAGACACAAGACTCCATTAAGCACATGGTTGCAAAAAGACACAAAACACTTTAAAAATACATAAAGTCACATTTATTACATAAAACACAGACATGTAACATATCCCCAGATAGCTCAGGTCCGAGCGCACATTATTAAGCGAATGGCGCTCGGACCACACGAATACAGTTTAATCACCATGGAGCCAAAGTCTTTACAGTCAGTTTCATACGAATGGGCTCCATGGGATTCCTATCTGGGGTATAACACATTCAAACAAATCTACCGAACCCCAGGCAGAAAAGCACGAATGAAGCTTTTCTGCAGGTAAAAAAATATGTTTTTAACAGGGGGCCATAGTCCAAAGGCAGCAGGCGAGCAACCAGGCTTCTCCAATGCAATGTGGCGAGATTGGTCTCGTCACAAGACTGAAACAATTTGATCTGATAAATGTATTTGTTCAGTTTTGGGATTGACATGTGAGCTACTTATAAAGTGAACACGGAATTCATTTGTAATGCTTATACATGTCAAATGAACATTTAGGAATGAGAGCTAGCTATAATATCTTCAAGCATCATAACCACTTCACAAACTGTTCCACAGTATTGGGACAAACCGTGGAGCCGCCCCCCTGTGATGGATCTTGCTGTGCCAGTGATTTCCTGAGATGTTACAGAGTCATTAAAGTTTGGTCCACCTACCTTTCAGCAGCAGTACTGTCTGTTTACTAAGATATCTCTTACAACAACATTTATAAGAAGCTAGAAATATGAAACATCTGTACCTTTAACTTTATAATTTGCCCACTAACAGCGAGTCACTGGAAAATGGCCTACTCGTATTGAGAAGATAAAAATCTGCTCCTTATTCTTAGAACCTTCCCATTCACTTAAGTACTTTGTCCTTCATCCTACATCCTCCAAGAATATGCTCATTTGCTATGAAACTCAACTTGACAATCTGAAAATGTGCACTACCTGTTCATTCTGATAACCTACTCACGCTCCCTGAGGATTGGCCCATGTGTCTTTTCACACTGAGTATATGGACTCCTATATGACTTCCCCAGTTCTTCCTATTTCATGTTCTCTCACCCCTCCATATCAGACTAAAACTATTCACCCCAATGTGTATAATGTGCTCTACTAACTACTAAAGATGCTTATCATGAAGGGGTTGAATAATTTTAAGGCTGAATAAGTCATTATAAGTTGCATTTTCAGCTGAGTTTGTGGAAACCAGTTGAATCATCCATGTACTGAGCTATTTCAATTGCTTTTGTTTGATTTGTGTATTGCAAAGAGCTGAAAGTCTGTAAATTTTGATAATAAACATGATTTTCAATGGGGGTTAAATAATTTTGATTACAACAGTACATAATCTTATCTCTTCCCATGCCATTTCCAGCAGCCCTCTCCAATGTCATAAGACCTTTCCCTCTTACTGTCACTAGGTCACCTTTTCCCCTTTATACAACTTAATTTCCCATATCCCATATCATTGGTCATATCCACCTAATCTCGTTATTCTCCTTACTCTGCAATGTCATCTATCCTCTGTCTACTGATGTCCTCTCCATCCCATTCATTGTCCCCTTTCCAATGTCACTTATCTTTTCTGTCCCCATATCACTGTCTCTCTTCTCCCCAATCTAACTCAACATTCATTTTAACATGGTGTCTCCACGTTTTGTTTTCTTGTAATGAATTAGAATCATATAAATGTTTCAGGGTTAACATTTGGTATTCCCACTGTAGTTTGGTGAAATTCCCATAATGCTCAGCTTGACAAATGGAGACTTGTAACAGAAACCTCTCTATTAGATTAGAAAATGCATGAGCTGATCCCATACACAACAGATCATAATATTCATAAAAATAATAATTGCTAATTTGATTATTATAATACATAATAATACATGTCAGAGGCCTTAAATATAACTATTATTTCAATAATAGTAATCATAATAACAATAAACACTATTATTATTATTATTATACAAAATTATGCAATTCATTATTTTAATGCCACTTTATAACTACAAGGTAGGAAATTTCCATTCTTGGCATTTTTCCTTTATTATTTTTTGCAGTTCTTTGTTGTTCTTGAAACTGGGCTCATGACAGCTATTGTTTTTGGTCTCTGTTTATACCTGTAGGTCATACGTTCAATAAATATTATATTCCCTGTATGAAAAGAAGTCTGTATTTAAAATCCACTTATAATAAAAATGTACACTTTTTCTCCAATATTATAGAAATACCAATCTGTTGGGTGGCATTGCACAATACAACACAATAAACACCTTGACATGCAAGGAATATTAGACAAAAAATTGCATACTCTAAAGAATAACTATATGCTATGTTTCCACACATTATAGAAAGAGAGAACAGTATTTTTTGTTGCAAACATAGGGACTTTTGAACAGTGATACATTTGTAATAGATTTTAAGATGCTGGTTAAAGGAGCACGCCAAAGTTAAAGTTAAAAAAATCGATTTTAACTTTTGGTTAGTTTCTTTAACCAATCCAGTGCCAGACACCTTTTTTCTAAATCAAAAAAAATTTTTAACGCTTGGAGACTTCCTTTAACCAATCCAATGCCAGACACCGTCTTTATACTTCTTTATACATGGTATCCTGTTCCTTGTTTGTGAAGGGTGATGATCTCTTCTGTTAACTCCGTGGACCATTCTTTTGACTAACATATTTCTAACATGCTGTTAAATGTGACACTCAACAAACCAGTTCAGGTATTTCAAGAGTGAGTAAATATTTACTGACTCCTCGTCTCGCTTCTGCTCCATTCCTCCCCTGAGAAACCCTGGGTAAATGCAGCCAACCAAATGTAGTGATCATGGCAATCGGCCAATATAATGCTTTGCTTTTTGAAGCATTAGACCTGAACACTTTTTCAAGTGGAGTGAATAAGGAAGCATTCCTGGCTATCAGCTTGACTGCAAATATGGGTGTTCTTAAATTACTTCATAAACAGCCTCTCTTGAAATGTGGCATTTTTGAATTGAAGCAAGAAAAAATGATGTTAACCCCTAAAGCACTTCAGTAAGTTGAAATGTTTTAAGTTTCTTGCATTTAGAACTATGAGAACTATGGTTTAAATAGGATGCTCTTTGAAACTTGAGTATGTAAAGAGTTTTTGAGCAGGCTAATCATGAAATTTAAAGTTGTGATGTTTAAGAGACACTGTAATTCCCAGAACCATTACATCTTAATGTATTACTTCTAGGGAAGATAGCCTGACCCTACATTGTAAACGCTGCCTTTTTTTGAAAGCCTTCCCGGGCTCGTTCGGGCAAGGATTCCAGAAATGAGATGCTGATTGGCGCAGCAATGTTATTTGCTGTGCTAGCACAATAGCCTTCTAATGCTTCTCTATAAGGAAGCATTGGATGGAGGTGAGGCTGGTGTGGCGAATAAGCAAAGGTTAGCAAAACTTAATTTTTAACTCATTTTTTAGGAGGCGGGGCTGAATCTAAATAGGTGAGCTAACACTATTGCTTTAGAAAAACATGTTTGTATTCTTAACCCTAAAGTGTTCCTTTAAGATGTGCCCTTATAAATTTGTTGAATCATCACATTTTTCTTCAAGTTTGTGGCCAGAAGACAATTAATAGGCTTTGTTGTCCAAAAACATCTAGGGAGGCAGAGAATGAAACCCTTGATTTAAATGGTTTGGATACAAACATGCAACCACGACCTAGCCAAAATGTTGAGGAGCATATTCTTTCTATTCCCAGCCCAAGCCGTATTAATCTTTTTGACTTACGATGCCCCCCTTGTTTTTTTTTGTGGTTTTTTTATTGAATTAATTAGTACTGCTGCTTTATTTCTAAGGCAAGCCTTTCAGTAATACAAATCATCCAATTTAACGAAAGTTATTTGGTGATCATTAGCTCCTATAATATAATACATTTTAAAAAGCAGTCCTGTGCAGATGGTTGGTTCTGTGTTCGTTGGAAGGAAGATTGGGACAGCTGTTCCATTTTTGTAATGAGTAGCTTTACTTTAATTTCTATGGGGTTTTAGAATTGTAATTTAATAGTGTATTGTCAGTATACCCCTGGATGCTTGAACGTAGAGACCGATAGTAAGAATTCGGAAAAAGCATTAGTTTGACCTTAAATAACTTCAACTTATAACCCGTAATAAATTAACTATAGATACCATTAAGACAAATGTTTATAGAATATTGTTCTATGTGAGAAGGCAGGAAGGTAACTGTTTCATACAACAGTATAAATTAATATGATTTTGGTCTCAATAATAGAGATATGTATATAGATACATATATTATAATGGATGTTTGATTCTCCTACTCTGAACGTATTAACTGTGAGGGCAAAGACCGAATTGCATGGTTGTCCTAATTTATAACAAAGGAATATCTACTAAATTTACTTTAGACCAAGTGGTGTTATTTTAGAACTGTGTTCTCGAAGTGCCCCAGTTTCATGAGTGATTGAGTGAGTAATATGAAAAACATTGAGGTTATCAGGAAACACAGTTGGGTTGTTACCTCTGCGCATGGGCTTGTTTAGGGAAGAAAAACATTTGCGTATGGTTTGTTTGAGTGGCATATGATTAGGTTGACCGGCCTCCATACCATGGTTTCTGAAACGGAAAGTCTAGTTACCTTGTGGAATCTCCAGATAGGTATGTATTCAGTTCTTCTGATTCAACCAGTGACTCTCCAGTCTTGACATGTGTGTTTGTTGAAAGATTTTGTTATATCTGTTTCCTGGGATGTAAGGGAGAGACAGCTTGCATGATGACAGGATTGGAAGGATTCTGACAATGTTAATCTTGATGTAGCATCAGCATAGGGGCCATGATCGTGTTTATTATAATGAAACTGATAAGACTAAACCCAGAGAAATAAAGCATATCACAGCAATCATGACATCAGTGATATTCCTTTGTCTGGGTCAAAAATAGTTCACAGCTGCTCGTAATCTGTCACAAGCATACAAAATGTTCGTTCATACACATAAAGGTGAATTTGTTTTTGTTTTTTGCATCACCTACACTAAAGTCAACCCCTAAACTTTTTATTAAAGGAACACTCAGGACTTTTAAAGCAATTTAGCTTGCTGAAATGTGTTATGTGTGAAAAGTGTGTCCTCTTTATTTTGTGTTACAAAAAGTGCAAATTTCAGTAGAAATTGGCCATTTTATAAATTAACCTGGTTACACACCCTTGGGTGTACAACCCATCCTGTTCCTTCCTGGCTGTTTAGCTCAATGGAGCTAAATTCAAGAGGCAGCAATTCCCCTGAGTGCTTGCATTGCTTGTTGAGCTGCACTGGGAAGTCGGTGATTGGACGGCCACAGGCAACAGGCAAGAGATCTGCGTTTTTTGCAAGCTGTGTTTAGATATACTTCCAATTAAAAAAATGCATAATTAAATACATTCATGTCTTCATTGGGGGTATATCTACTAAACCGGAATTTTTATTCATTTTATATTTGGGCAGTGGAGTGTCCCTTTAATCCTCCATAAGGGGAGGAGTGAGCCCTCTGCCATTGTTGAGTTGTAATAAACCAGGTGGGAGGTTTATAATGTTTTTAAACTCCCAAATTACCCTTCTAATTAGAAGGTGCCCATCTGTCTTTGGGGTCAAATTTACTGAAGCCCCTCTTACTTCCCCCAGTTATTGTATAATGTGGCTGATGCCTTGAAACAGAATTTAATGTTCCCTCCTCTTTGCTCCTCTTGAGCACTAAGAATACATCCCAAAGTGATGCTCTGGAGGGGGCAGAGACATGATGACATTTTCTGCACTGTACCTCCAGAATAAGGATGCACAAAGTGAGAGTGAGATGCCTGGTGTAACCCAGGTCGGACCAGGTCTGTGGCTAAGGAAGCATGCTATTTGTGGTGCTAAGAATGGAGGAGGTATAGGACTTTTGACATTGGGTGGCAGTGCACACATAGATGTAACCTGCAGAACATATATATTAATTACTCCTGAAGATCAAATATATGAGAAAATGTGAGGAAAAATGTAGTCATATGATACAAGACACAATAGAAGTCTAGTAAGCATCAGCAATAATGTAAACATTATTATTTTATATGTTAACATTTGTTGTTAATTTGGAAGCTAAAGAAACAAGCCAGCTCGTCAACCAACATTTCCTACTGTTTAGTCTTGACCAGTATTTCATAAAAAGTATATCTTTATGAAATACTGAAAAGCAACAGAGCCACATTAACCTGTTTTCAAACATTTGAGTCTTCTAGAGGCTCAAAGTTCCGATAGCCTCCCAGCTTAATTTTGTAAACTTTTTGATGAAAACATGTAAAATTTGCTTGGAAAGGTTGCCCAACAAATCCAACAAGGCAATTTGGTGCTATTATATTTATTATACTCTCTGTGAAGAAGTACCGTAGCTTGGGTACAATAATGGTGCACAAAATCATCATGATTTATTGGTCTATTTTATAAAAAACGATGCAGCACTCTTGCTAAAAACAATACAAGCAACATAATTGGCTCACAGATCTCAGTCACTTCCTGGTTCCTTCACACATCACTGCAGAAGGACCAGATCCTG